TCTGTTCATTTCTGCTTAACTTCTGGACTCATTCCTTAATTTACAATTCATCTGTTTGAATTTATGGTTCTTTGCTGACTAAGACAAATTATAATGACAAGCTATGGTTCGGCAATTTATGGGTAGATTGGGATATTCGGCTACCCATTATCCGTCCCGTATGGGTAATGGGTATCCGTTAACAAATATGGGTTTGGAATACAGTGGCAGATCCAGGGCTGGGCCAACCCAGGCCCCGGCCCAGCCCTCTTCCGAATTCACAGTTAGTTTAGTGCTTATAAATTTTTTCGATTTAGGTATTTAGCCCAGTGTTATTTAAAATCATGTCTAATTTTATTTGATAATAGGATTTTGTGTAACGAGGAAAATGGTTCAAATGAATATATCCAAACCATCACTCTAAATTTATACTAAATTTTTATATCCCAAATGATTTTATTTGAAAAAAGACATGAAAACCTAAAAGTGTAAAGTCTCATTAAAATAAAATAAAAACTATAAACTAAACCACACCCTTCCTTACAAAATTCAAAAAATTTCCCAATCCCCCCAAAACAAAACAAGAACGAGGAGATGAGCAGACCCAAAATGGATTTCTCCGCCAGCCCATCGAGTTGGTTTTCTTTCCATTCTTTTGATTAAGAAAATATTTACAAACTTACTGAGTTATCATTTAGATTGCCTCAATTGAGTGGGGCACTAGATTCTAACCGTACTTTCTGGTGTTTTGATGAAGAAAATATTTACAAACTTGCGCAAGAGTTTGGCCTCGAGACTTTGAAGGCTATGAGATGCATTCTTTGGAGAATGCACTACTCATGTGAGGAAGATGAAGTTTCTTCTCTTGCAAAATTATTAGAGAAGGTGGACGAAAGAGGGATGGACACACAATACAAATTGATTTGTCGGTTGATTTGTCTAGTGTTGACCTAGCCGTTTCAACAACTACCATGGAGAGAATATTTTCAGCAATGGAACATGAACATTGATTTGTGCAACAAAATGAGCGATGAATTTCTCGTTGATTACTTAGTTATTTTCTTTGAAAAAGAGTATATTATCAGTATGGATGGAGATTATATTATTGATGAATTTGTTAAATTAAAGATCTTCTTGTACAATTGGCATTGTAATGAAAACTATATTATTATATATTTTTATTTATGATATCTAATATTCTATTCAAATGCGGCCTAGTGCTCTCTTATATCCTGGATCCGCCGCTGTTGGGATATGAGATGGATTATCCCTCCAAATTGGAATGGGTACCCATTCCCGTCCAGATTTCCACCCCTAACCTCATCTATTTTCCGGATAAGGTTCCAAAAAAAAATACAGAGTTAGAACTGGTAATTACGCCACCGATCTAATTATTTTTACAGTCTGTCATGAATTGCACAGAAAAAGTATTAGCATTCATTTTAAGTCATAATTTGAAATTTTCTACAAAGAAAGAAAGCACTAATTATGATCTAACATATGATATTCATTTTGCTATATTTGAGCAAAGAACAAATTGACTTTTTAAAACATGTTATTTTTACTCAAAATAAAAAAATATAGAAAGTCACACATAATACCTCATATCAACATCACATTAGTGTCATATCATATATTGATTATATCAAAATATGTATGACACTAATATGAACTCATCAAATTATTTTGTCAAACATAAAATATGATACTAACATCATATCACTGTCTTACCACCATCATAAATTAATATTTATGTAATGATATTCATTTTTATTATGTTTTGTCAAATAAGACATCAAACTAACACATATCAGTGTCATATCAAAATAGTATCACTATATCATATTGATAATATCATGATTTGACATTGATATGATATTGTCCAATTAATTTGTCAATCATAAAATCTCATACCAACACCATATCATTGTCATACAAACATCATATCAACATTATACCACTATTATATCAGCATCATACCACTACGATATCATATCACTATTAGTGATAATATGGTGATATGACAATTGTATGATGACCTGAGAATTTTTTTTTTAAAAAAATATCGAAATGTGCATCATCTACAAAGCACAAAAAATCGAATTTATCTATGCACAAGTTTTTGAAATTCGATCTAAAATGAATGAGCTATGGTCGGTTGATTCTCTGTAAGAGCTCTAATAAATGTCTTAAAAATAATCTTGAAATTCGTGCCAAACCCGCACCCCGAAACCCCCCCCCCCCTAAAAAAAATTAGTCAACCCTCTCCTCTCTCTCCTACTTTCCCTTCTTACCCCCTTGCAAAGTTGGTCAATGTATGTCTTCCCTCTCAATCTTAGCCATGGATTATAGTTTTATGGGACTACAAAACTATTGGGTTTTGTATCCTAACTCAAGTCATATAATAAAATGGCAATTCTCTTCCCCTCCGTTCTCTTTTTTTTTTTTTTTACAATGGGCGCGCCATTCTCAGTATGGTCACTGTTCTCCGAATTTGTTTTCTATATATTATTTTTTTGAAAAATTATTACTCATAATTTGCTTTTTTGAAAATATAAATCTCAAATTGTTGTACATATACTCGAGTTGGGCCACACATGCCATGATTGTCAATCTTGAGTATACCCAATTGAGGTGCGTGCCTAGATAAGGCTTATTCGAAATTTAAAAGTAAATTGGGGCAGAGCAAAACCCGTAGTTGGGGTACACACACCTGAATTGGGAGTTTTTGTCACCACAATATGCATTTCATTCTTTTGCTAGTTTACTATTTAAGTTGGCATTAAAAAACGTGCATGCTAAATCTTTGGTAATTTTTAGTTACTTTTTTGTTTTTTTACGACAAAAATAAATTTTTCTTGTTACAGTGTTGACAAAATGTCCTTATTTAGAGCCCATATTTAGGTTTGTTTTTAGTCATTTTATGTTTTTCATAGTTAATATATCGTTAAATATAATCCTTATTCGTTCCTTTGAGAAAATATTATCTTATTAGGGTGTATTGGATGATATGGATGTTTTTAAATATAAAAATGTGTACAAGTGTAGAGAAATAATCAAAATCACAGCCAGAGCATTAATGATTACTAACGGGGACAAAGGACACACGATTGAGGACCGAAATCGCAACCTACAGTGCCAACAAGGAAGTAGCAGAAAGTCTTGATAATCGATATCATGCGCGAACATTTGGAGAAGCCAACAAGGAAGGAGCACAAAGTCTTGATAATCGACTCACAACCTTCTTCATCTGAGCCCACGAAGAAGATCGAGGCCGCAATTCATGGATCGCGATTGTGAACTTGGGCTGTAAACTTCCCAACCTTCAATGCAAAAAATAGCAAGCTCAAGATCGCGGTTTCCTTCCCAGATCGCGGCCGCGAACTCTCCCAGCATGACTGTGAACTTGCCACAATCCTGGAAATCTATAGATAGGGGGTCCTCCCCCTACATAGAGAGCTGAAATTGATTGAAGACGTTTGGTTTTAAGAGATAGAAAGTTAGAGAGAGAAGCTGAAGGATGGAGAAGAGGAGAAGAAGAAGGAAGGGAGCTCTCCCACATCAAGACTTCTTCTATTTTCTTCCATGTACCTTCTTCCAATCTTCCTCCCTTTATTGGGTAGTTCTCTAAGGTACTAGAAGTTAACTCCCCAAATCCTAGATTTAGGTTTTGAATGTAGATGTAATTGTGTTAGGGTTTATGAATGTATATGTTTGTTTTAGTGAATTTACATTTCATTTATGATTAATTATTCTTGGGTAAGTCGCCCAACTCTTCCCTACTAGCCTACAAACTAAGTTGACACTAAGTGGAAATTTTAGTGTTAGACTAGGTAGCGCCAACTGGCAGATTAAGGGTAGATGAATGATCTTAGGGTTCCTTAGTCGACATAGCAACCGAATCCTACTATTGGAATGCCTTCCTAAAACAATGCTAGAGGAGTCGTACGCGTTCTGATCGAAGCACGTCTCTGGTATGCCTGATAAGTTGGCTCAACTCTAACTACACATTTCCAATCGAAGGCCAAACATAACCAACGATCATGTATAGCATAGGGTAAGCAAACAATAAAATTATCGAACCACGAGTCTCTAGATGTACGTTACTTCGGCTTAAGGTTTCGTTATCTAGCCAATCTAGAATAGTGATTAATAAACTAAGCTAACTACACTAACCTAACCACTACCCTAGCTAATTACGAGTTATAGAGCTCTCTTAGTATGAATCCCCCTAGTTCTATCAATTGGACCAATGTTGCGTACCATCCTAGCTCAATCGACTCAATTCATCTACCAATAGGAGATAGACTCCCTGAGGAATTCACCCGGAAAGACATAGCAATGAATGGGTAGTGTTCTATTCAACCTAAGGATTCACATACCATTAAGAAATTGACTCTGCTGGCTCCCTCAGAGTTATGCAAATGACATATGATAGGAGCGACCCTAAGACGCCAATGATGGGCTTTAAGGGGATTTTCTCCCTCCTAAGTCAAAAGCTCAATTGACATGTAGAACTCACGCAATCCATGAAAACCATGCATCAACTAAATAAAATGAGAAATCAAACATAGGATTCATCACATACATCAACATCAAACCAAAATCTAGAACTATGGTTCTTCAACCTAATAGAAGAGACTAATTCTAGAGAGAAAAGAGAGAGTTTACAAAAATAGCTCAAGATCTTCATCTTCTATGCTTGAATCTTTTGACTCCAAAATCAACCCAAGCCTCCAATTAAGCTCCAAGATCACTATCTCTTTGTCTAGAAATGCATCTTTGGGTTGAAACCCTAAAGAAGAACCAAGCTCCCTTTTGTTATATGTATAATATGCTCCTCTACTTTGTAATTTTCTTAAACATGCCCCTCTACTTTGAATCACATCAAAACTACCCTTCTAGTACTAAATGCTGCTCAAACCTACCCCCCCCCCCCCAAATTAATTTCCGTTTCAGAACCGCCAAATTGGTCCAACCGAATTCGGTCAGCAGGATTTCATAAAAATGGAAGGCCAAATGACTTTGATGCCCCCTTATTTATAATCCTTCGTTAAATGAAAAACCCTCCATTCAAAGCCCTTCCCCTTTAATGACGAGACCCCGACTTCGACCATCCCAATTCTCCCGATGTATGATTTTTGCCGCCACCACCACTTTGCAGTCGTAGAATCTTCAACACCTTCATCCTCATAGACTTGCATCCATTCCCTCCCTAACTGCCGACCCTGACCTGTCCCGCCCTTGTTTCCAGTTCACGCCGCCGCCACCGCACCACCATTGTCAATCTCGAATCTCCGCATCCCTACTTTGGATCTTACAACAAACCCAACCTTAATTTCCCCCATCCGACAATATTATTAAGACCTCCATCACTCAAACCTTGGTTACATCTGTCTTTCAGTGAGAAGACCATTGAGGGTATTTTGAACCCACTTTCAATAATTGGAAGGTAAGGGATCCTCCACCAAACAACACTTTTATGGTTTCACAAGTAGAATAAGGTAAATTGAATAAAAAATTATTATTATTTGTGATAGTAGGTCCTTTAAAGGACTACTTTGAACTGAAACCTACAGAGCTCTCCATGTGACCTGTGGGCACCTTTTCTCCTACTTTAACATATCACTATCAATATATTATTGCTCTGTGTTGGTGGGTGTGTAATGCAAAATTGGAATTTTTTTTGTTAGGACCAAGAATGGTTTCTCCAACGATGGTTTTTCATGTTCGTGGAAAATTTAAGAAGATCGGTTGTGATGTAATATACGACTGTGGGAAAGAATTATTATATCCTAAAATTGATTCTGATGAAATATGCACTTGGGACCTAGTCAAAGCCATAAAACAAGAAGCAAATTTTCATGACGATTTTGAGATGTACTTCAAAAAGTTTGGGAAAAATGGAGATGATGCTTGGACACTACTATGTGATGAATCACTCGTTAGAGCGTTGGTTGACGAGTTCAAAGACAAAGTTGTTTATCATGTTTACATAAGACATGATTTCACGAAAGAACACCAACTCTTTGACGACGAAGAGGTAACTCTATGATTATTTATATATTTATGAGCTTGGATCAATAAGAGATTTCACACTTGGAGGGTAGCAAAATCAGTTTGGTTCATTTTTATGCAGGAGGTAGCAAAATCAGTTGGAGGGTCTACAATGAAAGTTACTGAGTTGATTGAACAAAATGGGGGAGGTACTGTTCCGGTTGGACATGAGGATGCAGATACTTTTGAAGCACGTAGTGGGGTAAAAAATGTTGTAGATGGTGCAACACATGTGATTTAGAAGACAATGTGTGGATTGATAAAGAAGCGAGCGAATCCGAAAGTGAGTTTGAGGTGCACCCCAATTGGCTTAGCAATGAGGATGTTGAAGAACATGAGGAAATTTTCACATATTTGAAGAGTGCAAAGCAAAACAGGAAGAGGGGCATACCGACAATAAAAGGTTACAGAAGAGGAGGATGGTTTCAAATCCGATGACTTTGGAAGCCATGATGAGACAAACAAGGAAGATGAAGTAGTTGATCATGGAGTAAGTAGAAAAAGCCATTTTGTTATCAAATCTGGACACACCCTTCTTTGAAGTAGGTATGATCTTTAATAGTATGGATAAGGCTAGGGATACTATCACCAAGTACTCCTTGAAGACAAAGAAAGATTTAGGCAAAATACACTTGTGTAGCCAAAACTTTCACGTTTGTGCCACTTATAGCCAGTTTTGGCAAAATACCACTTATAGCCACTTCCGTCCAATTCTTTAACGTTGTTAACGTTAAGTGTGACTGGGCAAACGGAGATGCTGACGTGGCAAACTCTTAGCTTCAATTTTGCTTGTAAATATACACGTGGATTAACTTAAAAAAAAGGAACGAAACCACCCATCCCTCCCTTTTCACTTTGCCCTTCTCTCTCTTTGCTACTCTCTCTTCCGCCACCCGGCGGCCCCGGCGCATCCCTAATTAATCTCTAATTGAAATTGTGACCTTGGTCACCTCTCATCTTCTGATCGAGGGAGAGACTAAAGAAAGCCCTCTTTTCACTCGCGATTTGCAGTGGAGGAGGAAGCAAAGATTTGTGGTTGGGCAACCCAAGAGCTTCGATGACTCCATCTTCCCCAACATCGGAGACTCAACTGCAGCAACAAGATTGGACCCGCCACCATCCCTAATCCCATGGAAATTCACAAATTGAAGAACCATCTTCATTATCAGCACATCTTCATGAATTGACAAAGAAGATCGACTTTGCTGCATCAACCATGAAGAACAGCAGTAAGCAATTGATAAAGTGCGATTGTTGTGGTGATGTAAATCATAATTTAGAAGAGTGCAAGCAATGGTAGAAGCATCGATCCAACACGAGCAATCTAGCTTTGTTGTAGGGAAACAAACAAACAACAATCCATATAGTGCTACCTATAATACGCGACGGGGGAATCATCCTACCTTCTTATGATCTTCATCATCTGATAGGAAATCTCCCGGTTTTCAAGGACAAGACCCGATGAAAACTTTATTTCAAAGAAATAATCACTCTTCAAGCCAAGGTCCTTTCTGAGATCAAAACTGAAATTCAGATAATCGTAGGACAATTTATTGCCACCATAGATTTGTGGAGAATGCCGCAAACTAGTTTTCAACCGTGGAGGTTGGTCAAAAAAATCATGAAGCAAAACTTCAAAACCTTGAATCACAATTGATATCTATGGCTCAATCTCTATCAAAAAGACCTCAAGGAGCTTTACCGGATAATATAGAACCTAACCCGAAGAAGGATGCCATGAGGTTACTTTTAGGAGTGTCCGACATTGAAGAAATTTCCGGGATCAACACCCCGAGCATCTCTTAGGGAAGTTCAAAGAAAGTTATTCAAGAAGAGAAGAGTGTTGAAGAGGAAGTGATAGTCCCAACCAAGATTAATGTTGAAGAAAACAAAGTCCCAAAGAAGCCTCAAGCATCCGAATACATTCCAAGGGAACCATATCCTAAGAGATTATTTGAGAGTGATTTACATACTGAATGTGCTCAATGGAGGGATACCCTTAAAGAACTTAAGGTAACCATTCCTTTCTTGGAGATGGTTATGAAGATTCCCAAATAAACTAAGTTCTTGTAGGAAATTTTATCGAGAAACAGAAAAATGGAGGAAGTTGTTATTGTTTCTATGAGTGATTCGTTTATACATCAATTAGTTGTGAAGGCATGCCACAAAAAATGAGAGATCTGAGAGTATTCATTATTCCATGTACCTTCGGTAACAAGACATTTTGGAATTCTTTAGACTGTTTGGGTTCGAGCATTAACATTATGACTACGAGGATCTATAAAGAGAAGATGAAGGAAGGAGAAGAAGGGAAAGGGAAAGCGTGTGGAAGAGAAATAGATTAACAAGCTTCATACAACTCTAGTTTATATGTTTGCAGATTGGTTCTCCTTTTCTATTTATATTTTGAAGTTTGATTACTAATTATGAAATGTCATTTAACAAAGTTTTCGTGGTTGTTCCCAATCAATTCACAATTTCTCATGAAATAGGGAAGTTATTAAAGTGAGGGCATCGCAGTAATTTACCTCTTTATGTTATCAACTACCACAAGTGAAATAATTCATTGCTTTAATTCATCCAAGCAATATATTTCAACTATACTTTTTTTTTCAAATAACGCACAAATACCACTTATAGAGAAAATGAGTGATTTGATCTTACAAATACAACATTGTCGGTTAACTCATCCAAACTACCCCTATGTTTTAGCTATGCAAGAATTCCATGAATTCCTTTACAAGTTGAGAGTATGTAGTTGAACCCTACCCTCTTGTGGCGGCATGCTTAATTTATGAAATGCAAGAATGAGTAAACTAGAAGGAGCATAGTATCAAATGCAAGAATTAGTATGGTGAAAAATAGAAGGAAGAAGAATGAGTATGGTGAAGAATAAAAAGAAGAATTTGTTGAACTTTGGTGTAGAAGTTATTATATATATAAAGAAGAAGCAAAGTTACTGTTGCCTAATTATTTACATTTTGATACCCCAAATTTAACTAAATTACAGTTTAGTCATTATAATGTACATTTTACATTTTGATACCCAAATTTAATTTTAATGTAAAATCATTGAACAATTATGTTTTGTTATCTAAATTTTATGAGATTTTCATACTTACAATTTATTTTAGATTTACATATTGGTCCAATGTTTATATTTCACTTGAATCCATGAATCCAATCCACCAATCCTTTTGAACCAATTAAATCCAATCCACCATAACATAAAAGTATAAATTGAAAGGACCAAATTTCTCTCTCCTTCTTTCTCTCTCCTTTCCGTTCTCTGAGGACAACCTAATCGACGATGGCCGCCTCGCCGGCTTCTCAAGCTGGTGAGGGCTCTTCTTCCTGGGCGAGCCTTTTTGCAGTAGCTCCGGAGAAGCGACTTACATTCAGACCTCCAGAGAGAGTCAACGATGGGTTTCGTATACCGAAGGAGGTAAAGGAGAAGGGCGCAGAACGATGGCGCGATTCCTTGGTGGGTCAGTTCGTCGGGAAGCGTCCAGCGGTTGTTGAGCTCCAGTCATGGGCAAATAGGCTGTGGGGGAGAGATGGCATGGGAAGGGTATCGCGATTCGGTCCGAAGCTCCTGATCTTTCAATTTCCTTCTTCTACTTCGTGTGAGTGGGTTTTTACCTCGGGGCCGTGGCACTTCAAGGGTAACCCAATTTTTTTCCGGAAATGGGAAGTGGGTATCCAACCAGTGGTGCCGAAGGTGGCTACACTACCGATTTGGGTCACGATTAGGGGTTTACCTCTGGAATATTTGGGTAGTGATGGGGTGGAATGGGTAGCAAGTGTAATTGGGAAGCCGCTCTGGACTGATCAGAGGACTAGGGTGGGGGCTCAACTGGGTTTTGCGAAGGTCTGTGTTGAACTTGCTGCTGATTGTGGGTTTCCTGCAAAAGCTAGATTTTATCCTGATAGCGATCCTGATTTTGAAATAGGGCTGGAATATTCACACCTGCCGAAAGTGTGTTTGAAGTGCTGTTTGTTTGGGCACAGTTGCGCACAAGAGCCAGTAACTCAGTGGCAGGCTAAGGAAGTGCAAACTGTTCAAGAAGAGGATCAAGAGCCACTGGAAATGGAGGGTCAAATAGTTGGAGGGGCTGATAAAGACATGGTGCAGAATCCTGAGGGGAGTGGATTGAATGAGGGATTGCAGGATAGAACTGAAGGGTTGGATGAGGGACTGGCAACTGGGGGAGTCACTGATATGGTAGTTGAGCAGGCTGAAGTTTCAATGGCGGACAATCTGCCTCCTCCTTCCTCAAATGGGGGCTCTCCTCTCAGTTTTGCCCAGATTGTGAGGGGATCACCATCAGCGGGTGGGGAATCAACTGCTGTTGGTGGACAGGAGTCGGACTGTGGGAAGTTGAATCAAGAAGATACAGGGAAAGAGAACAGGCAACCTCTGGTTGACAAAGGGAAGCGAGTCTGGGTTGATTCTCCTTTGGTTCCCATTCAACCAAAGCGAGGAGGTAAAGGTGGAAGGGGAAGGGGTAAGAGATGAAAATCCTTACCTGGAATACTAGAGGGTTTAAAGCAGAAGGTAAATATACAGCTATACTTAGGAAGATAAATAAGTATAATATAGATATAGTTGCCATCCTAGAATCTAGAATAAGATCTTCTGAGACAGATAAGCTAGCTGAGAAGCGGTTCCCTGACTGGAAGAAGAAGATACAGCACAACTCAAATGGTCTGGGGAAAATTTGGTTGCTTTGGAAACAGGACGTTCAGCTCACTGTTTTACACTCATCTGATCAATACATACAGTTTATGGTTAGTGGGATAAAGGTTTTCTTTGGGACAGTTATCTATGCTTCCAATGAGGAAGCTAGCAGAAGGGAGTTATATAACGAGCTGAAAAACATCAATGTGACACAAGCTCCTTGGATTGTCATGGGTGATTTTAATGATATTAGAGCTCCTTCAGAAGCCTCTACCTCTCCTACAATGGATTCACGTATGCTGGGATTTAATGATTGGATTAATGATCTGGAGTTAGAAGAACATCAGGCAACGGGGCCATGGTTCACTTGGTTGAATAAGCAAACTGCAAATCCAATAGCTAAGCGGCTAGACAGGGTCCTGGTTAATTTCCTTTGGTTAGATTTGGTTAAGGAAAGTAGAGTGCACATTCAAGCTCCAGGAGTTTCGGACCATTGTCCACTTTATGTTGATACCTGTGCCCCTTTGAAGTCAATACCGAAGCCTTTCAAATTTTTTAAATTCTGGCTGCGGCATCCAACTTTTGATGCACTGCTAGCAGAGGCTTGGAACAGCAGGGTGATAGGGCATCCACTCATCCAAGTGTGTAAGAAGTTGAAGATTTTGAAAAACTTGCTGAGGAAGCTTAACAGGGAGGAATATTCTGACTTACGAGAAAGGGTTAAAGCTAAGGAAGCTGAGGTTCAAATTGTGCACCAGCAAGCATTGTTAAATCCATCAACTGTAACTTTTGACACTATGATCAGGCTGGAACAGGAACTAAAAGAAATATGTCATGATGAGGAAACCTTTCTCCAGCAGAAGTCTAGGGAAACTTGGTTGCGAACTGGGGACTCAAACTCAGCATACTTCCATAGATCAATCAGAACTAGGCAGAAGAGAAGTACAATCAGGGTCCTGAAAAATGAGCAAGGGGAGAAAATTCAGGATGTGGATGAAATGTCTCAAATTGCTGTTAGGTTCTATGAGAGATTACTTGGTGTGGCTGATTCTGAAGTTGAACCTCGAACAGATGAGTATATTTCTGGTTTGCTGAAAAGGAAGCTTAATGAGGATCAAACTGAAGGAATCTGTGACTCTATCACTGAGCAGCAGATCAAAGATGTTATTTTCAAAATGGATGGGGATAAAAGCCCTGGACCAGATGGTTTCTCTGCGGCTTTCTTTCAGTATGCTTGGCCAATCATTGGATGTGAGGTAACAGCTGCTATACAATACTGTTTTGAACAGGATAGAGTACCTAATCAAGTGAATGCAACTATTCTCACTTTGATCCCTAAAACTCCTAATCCAGATGATATGAAAAACTTTAGACCAATCTCTTGTTGCAATATTTTGTATAAATGCATCTCTAAACTCATTGCAAATAGGTTAAGTCCTCTTCTTCCTGCCCTGATCAGCAAAAATCAAACTGCTTTTGTTAAGGGCAGACTTATAGGTGAGAATATAATGATGGCTCATGAACTGGTCAGCAAGTATTCCCATAATAAAATCTCCCCTAGATGTGCTTTAAAGATAGACCTAATGAAAGCTTTCGACTCAGTTGATTGGTCCTTCATATTTCAAGTTCTGAAGTGTATGGGACTCCCAGATAGATTTATTACTTGGATCAAAATGTGTGTTAGTACCCCAAGGTTGAGTGTGTGTTTCAATGGGGGCCTGGTTGGTTACTTCCCTGCCAAGAAAGGATTTAGACAAGGGGACCCTCTGTCCCCTTATCTATTTGCAGTAGCAATGGAGATATTTACATGCTTGATTGATAAGTCTGCTACTGCTGGGAGGTTTCCCTACCATCCAATGTGCAAAGGAATTAACCTTACCCACCTTTGTTTTGCTGATGACCTGCTGGTCTTCACTGATGCTTCTAATTATGGGATACAGGAGTTGCAAAGAATTTTGGTTCAATTCAGGAAAATCTCTGGTTTACAGTCCAACCCTAGTAAATGCGAGCTATATTTTGGGGGGTTATCCCAGGAAGAAAGGGCGATCAGAGCTGAAAGGTATGGATATAAGCTAGGGGCATTCCCTGTTAGATACTTGGGGGTTCCATTGATAGCTGGTAAGTTGAGTATCAATGCTTGTAAACCGCTTATAGAGAAGATGATTGCTAGAATTACAGCTTGGAAAGCAAAATCACTGTCTTATGCAGGGAGGATTGAACTTGTAGGCACTGTTCTATATAGCTTGAACCAATTCTGGATGTCAGTCTTTATTTTACCCCAGGCTGTGATTAAGGAGGTTGAGAGATTGTGTAGTAATTTCATTTGGGGTGTGGACAGAGGGGTGAAACTCAGAGCCAATGTTGCATGGCAGAAGATTAATTATCCAAAAAGTGAAGAAGGTCTGGGGTTTAGAGATATGAAGAGCTGGAATCAGGCGTGTGCTTCAAGGCACATATGGCAGATCCTACTACAAGAGGGATCTTTATGGGTGGCATGGATCACTAAATATAAGCTAAAAGGGAGGTGCTTCTGGTCTTATAATAGCAATTCAGGGTCTTGGAACTGGTGCAGAATCCTGAAACTTAGAGGCAGAATCTCTCCTTTCATCTCACACAGAGACGGTACTTTATTACTTGATGGATTGCCAATGCCTCGTTTCTCTATTAAAAGAGTTTGGCAGCTTGTTAGGCCTGTTCAGCAGAAGGTTGATTGGTGGAAACTAATTTGGAAAGGGGTGGCTATACCAAGTAATCGGTTGCTTACTTGGTTGATAATCAGAGGCAGCATTCATACAAAAGAAAGAATGCAGAGATGGGGGTTTCAGGGCTCGATGAACTGTGTTCTGTGTGGAGAAGGAGTAGAGAACAGACAACACCTTTTTGTTCTCTGCCCTTTTTCTAGGCAGATTCTGAACTCTTTGTTTACAGGTCCTATGCAGGTTCCCCAGTTCCAAACATGGGAGGCCATGGTCTCATGGCTGATTGAGAAGTACAGCAAGCAGGTGGAAGTGGCTGAGACAGGGAGGCTGATATGGCAAACATGGATCAGTCATACCTGGAGAGAAAGATGCCGTCGATTGTATGGTAATAAGGTGAGGGGATCAAATGATCTGATTATGGGTATGAAGGCTGAGGTTGTCCATGTCATAGGGAGTGAAAGGGTGCATCAGTTTTGGGGAAGATAGCTTATTCTGTCTTAGAGATAGGTTTTGATTTGATAGGTTTATAATGAAGTTATGTTACTGAACGTTTTTTATCCCTAGCTAGCAAGGTTGTTGCTAGCAAACCACTCTTTTTTTGATGAATATAGAACCCGCTGATTCATCAAAAAAAAAAGTATAAATTTAGTTTGTATAATACAAGATGTTGTATCACTCAACCGTAGGAGAAGATTCGACCATTTTATATTTGCTAATTACGTGAATCATTAAATAGATGATTAAAGAGAGACGACTCTAAAACATTAAAAGAGCGAATTTATGAAATCATTTAGTACATTTACGGGGTACTAAACAAACTTCTATTAACTACATGTAACAAAATATGCCACATCTACATAACAAGTGTCGATAAATTGCTACGGTGAAAAGGATTGATTGTTGTATATATTGACGTTCAACTAAACGAAATTGTCAAAACCTTTCTATCATCTACTTTTTCTTCGTTTCATTTTTCACTCGCCCTCCATAACCCTTTCTTTATTTCTTTCTTTGTCTTCTTCGTCTAACCCTAATTAGTATACTATTTTTATGTATTCTAATCACAATTATAAACGGGTCCATACACGACTCACCAACAGTCTAGAGAACTAATAATTGAACCATGAACCACTAACTTTTTCAGCTCAATGTCCATTCCACTAATAAATAAATAAATATGGTTATTACTTACTAGAAAGTCGTCATTTTTCACTATGAGATTTGAGGGCGTGAAATTTTGAGCGAGTTACGGTTTGTATTCGTTTTGCTTCTCTATATAGTTTTTCTTTTCCACCGGGCTAGAATTTTCAACAATTATACATGTAATGTTTTTCTAGGTATCTACACATATCAAATAAATATTTTTATTTTTCTATAAAAAAAAGTAAATGACTATCATCTTAAATACATCACCATAAAAGGAATTAAACCTCAACTATGCAAATCACAGTTCTGTAACTAAACTTCATAGATCTTTAGATTTATAACCTAATTTTATTTTTTTGCATATAAGTCCTCAAAATGTTGATGAAACATCATTTTAGTACCTAATTTTTGTGTGTTACATTTTGGTACCTAAACTTTTAAAATTCTACAAATAGGTTTAAATTTTGTATGTGTAATTAAACGCTCTTGAATAAATGGGTATCCATACCCAATTCATACAAATTTAGATTATCAAAGTAAATATCCAAACCCTACCCAAACCCATCTACAAACTTCCAAACCCATATATACGTCACCCATTACCTACGTATAATCAATGGGTCTACTTGGATTTAGGTAAATATCATTTACAAGCCAAAAAATTTTAAATTGGATGTTGACCATCATATTTCTCTTCTCAGTCAATATCATATGGTCAAGCCAATATTACTAACAAAACTGCTAACAAAAAATTATATTTACGCTAATAATACTAACAAAACATCATAACGGACATATAATACATGCTCATAGGCCATCTCCGTCCACGACAAGGCGCGGCATCGCTAACTAGTTAGATTATAAAGAGCAAAACAAATACAGATCGCATCTTAAGTTCAACAACATCTTTTTGATTTTTACCTTTTAATATATAGCTTTCAGGTAGCTTAGCCAAACGTCATGTTCTTATTCATGAATAATGGTTTGCTACTTAATTTGCTAATTTATCATTGTTTATACTGATCAATGTATAAACAGTGTTTTCTTATCAAAATAACAATGAATGATCGAGTGTTCTATTTCAATTGTGAAATCATCTTGACCATAATAGCTATAACCTATAACTATAGAGTGAAGGATTATTCTGAACGAATAATATTATAATTTCAAAACATAATGAACTAATAATTAGGCAGTTAAATATGCATCACTTTTATAAAATGCAATTAGCAGAAAACAAAAATTACAATGTCCCGACTAGCTAGTTACATGATATATGATATAAAAATATCAGTAGAAATGTAACCATGTATGAATCCCTTTAAACTATGTAAGAACATAGGTTAGGGAAATTTTATGGGAAGCCAAAAAATGCAAACATATAAATTATCCCCTTTATGCCAAGTTTTTATTTTATTAAGATGAACATAAAAGAAGATTTTATTTTTATTTTTTATGTTTTATTTTCTCTTGTTGATAAAGTTTGCTCATGAATACCAGCCTTTTTTCATTAATGGATTCAGTAACCTAACTTTTCCTATTCACTATTTGAGATTAACAAAAATTGGGTTTGGGAAGTTGAGAGAATAATATGGAGGGTATATAGAAAAAATTACAACAAAAGGAAGCATATTTATTGATTTTTTTTATCTTGAATATTTGGCTTCATTTAATCATTTCTTTTTCCCCCTCCTAATAATAACATCATTCCTTGTCTTGCTCATCATTTGTCTCTGGCTGAGGTGTTGTGCTTGCAGTAGTCATCAAACTTCTCGGATTTTCCCAACACAATCTCAATCTGTGATAGATCATATGAACAAGTAATCAAGAGTTATATTTGCAATAATGGACAGAGTAATTAAATATTTTAACAAGATACATGCCTTGTGTCCAGGATTACTAAGTTTTTATTTTTTATATAAATTTGATGATGATTATATTAATTGTATTGGAATCAAACCAGTACCAATATTGTTCCCTGTGAGAGGAGAAAATGGAAAAATGCAACAAGAATATCGTCAAAGAGATAGAGGAATGTACAAAATATACCTTTGCTTTTTGAACAAGACGACCTTTGTTCTCGTCTTTCATGCCTACCGTGGATGTCAAAACCTCTGCAATAGTACCATACCAATATAATTAGTCAGTTAAGTTATATATATATAATTGTTGAAATAAAAAGGTTATACATGGAGAGAATGAATATCTCACTTTTCTCAGTTGCCAAGCCATTGTTCTTCAATATTTCAGCAATTGTGACCACCGTAGTGATTGCTACAAAATAGCAAAAGAGCAAGTGTATTATTTTCATGTTGTTTGACACAAAATACACACTATATTCTCATAAAATGACTACATTATGCAGTCCTTTGAATACAACATTCACTTTATTTTTATGAATTTTTAATACATGTTTTTATTGTTATGATTAAAAGGGGGAAGAAAGAATTTCTAGGTAAGCTTATAAGTGCATGAATTTTTTTTAATGATTTAAAACGGATAAGAAATTTTAATTTTTTATCTCTACCGTAATCTTACTGCACCATTCAATTTTTTTTTTTTTATCGGCTGCACCATTCATTTTTAAGTAAGCTTATAACTTGTTTCTCAATGTTTATAACCTTAACATGCATGCACCCTTGATCAAACAATGACCAATTTTTATAGATTTAAATTTAAAAAAGGACAAGGTTTGGTGGCATCTAAAGAGCCACAACACCTAATCCACTCATTTTGTGTTTATTCATATAAGTTTGTGATTATTCACGCAACATTGGTATTTATTCACGTCTGTTTTTTAAAGGCATTCGTCCACGTAATAGTGGTAGTTATTCATGCAAAGAATAATTTTTATTCAAGCATATTCTTATTTGTTCATGATGTCATAAAATTAATTTTGAAATATATCAAAATGGATGTCATTGTATAGATATTCTTATTTGTTCATGATGCCATAAAATTAATTTTGAAATATATCAAAATGGATGTCATTATATAGATTATGATCAATGAGCAATACAAACTATGACGTATTATGTGAAAAAAATTTGAGATTCCATTTGCGTGAATAATCATAACTCTTACATGAATAAACTTTATGTGAATAATCACCAAATGTCGTAAATGAACGCAACAATGAGTGAATTAGGTATTGTGGCTCTTTAGGTGCCTCCAAACCTTTCCTTTAACTAATGGTGTTTAGTATTATGGAAAGCTACAAAATATGTAAATTGGGAGATGTACAAGGAGTGGTGAGAAGTTGACGAAACAAATATATTTACGCACCCATGCCAAGGGCAGAAAGCTCCACCTCATTGTGTTGTTGTATGTACCTCTGTGATGTAATAATATTTCAAAAAATGGCAAAGAGATACAAATTAGTTCCTCTTTTTTATCAGAACAATATTTTTTTTTTATGATTACATGCTTGAAAGGTGTTTCCGTACGAGAATACAATATTTGAAAATAAACTTTACTCAAGAGAGTCCAATACTTCAATAGTGTGCCATGGTTGTATTGTGGTTAAGGGACACGAGCTTTTTAGATTATATTTTAGAATTCATGAAAACCATTTGACAAATATGAGAAATATTACAGTTAATAAGACTTTGGATCTCTAGATCATGTTTCATATATTTCGGTGCATTCACAAAAATGAGTGTGTTCAATGCACCCAACTAAAAAACTACGCTTAAGGTGTCCGATTTTGAATTTTAATTTGTAGAATTAGTGTAATATGATGATATAACATATGATAACAACTAATTAGCGGATTACCCTAAGCCCTAGACCTCCAATTTTGAGTTCTATCCCTAAACCCCAAATTGTAAACCATAACCCTAACCCTAAATCTCTAAACTCTAAATCCTTCGAATTAAAGTAAATCTTCAATGGTTTTTGTGCAAATTCATGTGCGTTATTGTTCATCACATCATAAGTGATGATTGACATCATTTTGACATAAATCGCATGTTTATAATAACGGTTATGAACCGGGTGCACTGAATGCACCCAAAAAAGTGAGTGCACCGAAGACGCCACCATATATATTTTTTTTTTTTATCTTCGTTTTCTTATTACCCTCTAACACAGATTCCTCTCCCCCATAACTACTGCATCTCAACCACTTTAGTTACCAAATTATAAACAACATAACAAAGACAAAGGAACCAACGATCTAGTACCTTGGCAAGGTTAACATAGAAGAACAGAGGCTTTTTGGTATTAGAAACTTGAATTCTATTCTTCTTTTGTTGTTGCTGCTGAACTTGTTGGGCTTTGGTCATCTCGACGTCATTGATGTCGTCATTGTTGGGCTCTATTTGGGTTGCAATCGGAACTAGTGTTGTTGCTGTTACTGATTCCATTGTCATCCTATTTCCCCCCTTTGATTGATATTCTTAAAATTAAAACTTTTAATTTTAGTTTTTCTTCTTCTTTCCCCCCTTTTATTACATAATAATAACCTCTCTGGCTTTGTTGTTTTAAGCAAAGCTTCTTTCTGATGATCCGTTTGCTTTTTTTTTTCTTTTTTCTTAGAGTTTATTCTTCCTTTATTTTATTCCACTATTATAGAGAGAATCAAAGAAAGTAGGGGCAAACTTTGTTGTTATTGTTGTGTTATTTTACAATCAAGAATGGGTGGGTTGGGGTGGTTTTAACTTTAACTAATCAATGAGTGTCGTAATTGTAGAGGAAACTGTTATTTGGGAATGAGTTTCAACATAGAGATTGAGTAGGCGTAATTGGTGGAGCGATCACCCCCCTTAACTTAACGAGTGTTTAAATGTTATTGGCTTGTTGACATTGTAAAAATGGAGAAATACACGGTATTGAATCTCGTTGGTCAACATTCAACGAAAAAAAAGAATCTCGTTGGTCAATAACAGGAAAGTTGAAACTAGTTGTTATTTTTTTTTTTACCAAAAAAATGAAGGACTTATTGGATCTAAATGGTCATCATGGCCATATAGGAACAAGATTTGGTGCAAATATATTAAGGAGTTTGCAACGAATAGGATGGCAATCAAACACATGTCCATCGGTATCCGACCACCCCCGATCCAGTCAATGCGGGGAATCCCCGCTTTGACTGGGTATGGGTAAAACCCGTAAAATGTTTGATGGGTACGGGGCGGGTATGGTTTTAGCCTCCCCCGCCCCATACCCATACCCATACCCGCCCCACCAAGAATATTTGTTCACATATAAAAAATATATGGATGAAATAGTAATCTATCAATGATAGTGAGGGTAAATAAAAAAATAATTAGTAAAAATGCAATTGAGTGGTCACCCAAATCAAAACCTAATTCATTTTCCTCAACTCTCTCTTCACTCTTTCACTTTTCCCTCATCTTAGCAAGATTATATTAGTTCATTATTGCTTAGTATATGTATTAGAGTGAGATAAATAATGATTTGGATTACATTGTAGTACTCTATTTTATGGATTAAGGGAAATTTTAGGATAGAATGCTTTGATCCATATTAAGAATTATTGTCACTTTCTCGACTTCATGATATAATAGGTGCCTTTAATGCTATAATTGAAAATTTACATATAAAATTTTATGTATTATAATGTTGGATGTACGAGGCGGGTATTATCCACGGGTACCCGATACCCACGGGTATGGGGATGGGTTTGCAAAATCTTCCCCCGCATGGGTATGTGGCGGGTATGAGTTTGGATATTTGAAAGCGGGGATGGGGATGGTTTAGGCAAACCCACCCCAAACCCGCCCCATTACCATCCCTACCAATGACAAACTTTTATTGAAAATACTAAGCATATTGATTACATGTTGGAATTAAAAATCCATATCAATTACTTCTTTCGAAATTAGAAATCAAAATAATTACATTTTTTAAGTAAATCCATATTTGAATTATATTTCTTGCCTCACTTCTACTTTCCTTCCTTTCTTCGACAGATTTCTTTTGACCGCCTTCTTTCAGCCAATGTCGTAGCCAGGATTCGGGTTAGTGGGGCCCCAGTACAAAAAAATCAAAGATATTATAATCAATTATCAACTAAGTTCTCTTCAAAATTCAGCCAAGTAGTGATTCATCAAATCATCAGTTATTAGATTTGTACCTTACATTTTGTGTAACTCGTAGTTGAAAAGAAACATTTCGATAACTAGCAAAATAAATCATTCCCAAGCGAAATCTAACACGCACAAACATATTACAAAGTACATATGATGACAAAGAAATTGTATCTTAATAGAAAAAACGAAAGAATTATGAACTTTTTAGATATAGCCAAGAAATTTTTATACATATTTAGTAGAATCAGAAAATCTTCAGATTAAGGATTATAAAATTGAGAATTTTTAATGTTATATTACCAATATAGTCTAGTTTATTTGTGTGTTTTAAAATACCATGACAATTAAATTTTATACAAATGGGTCCCGAATTCCTAATCTATCTAAATTAAACAAGTATATACACATGTATAAACATTTTAATTTATCCAAGTGGGGTCCTAGGAACCCACTCTTCTCCACCTCCCTCCGCCATTACTTGGGAGCTAACCTTAATGTGATACCCTTCTATGTCTTGAAGACATTTTGCATAAAAAGACTCGAGGACACATCTATAGAGACAGCCTTGGTCGACAACTCGATTTTTCGACCCGTGGGCATGGCAAGGGACTTAAAGGTTGAGATAGTATTTATCGTGTTCTCTCTCGACTTTGTAGTGTTAGAGATACAAAGAGGAAAAGACTATTCTATCATCTCTGGGAAGCCTTTCTTAGCCACTTTCGAAGCATTAAATAACATTCCTAAACATCAACCCATAATTAGAATTGATAATGCGGACCATATCATACACAGGACTACACAGGAGGCTTAGAAAGAGGTGTTCGATAAATGATCGAGTCCCACAATGATAGGATTGAGTTGTGACTCCTTGTAAACTCCTAATTATTGGGAAGGCATCAATTCAACCCTTTTGATTGACATTGAAAAGGAGTTGGAATTCCACTTTAGGTAACTCTTTGTCGCCTTATAGCAAAAAAAAAAAAAAAAAAAAAAAAAAAATCAAAGAGATGGTGTGTAGCCTACACGTGAATGCTCCTTCCCTTGAATTATCCCTCCCCCCCTCCTAATTATGAAGGAGAATGGCAACATAGCGTCATTTCTCGTAAGACTAAAATACTTTGGCGCCTCCCATCTCAAAGGCATTAAAGAGAGGGAGCTAGTTGAGAGGCAACCCATGATCTATCTATCTTAAATACAATAAAGAAAAATATTGCCAAAAGATAGCTCGCATTTGTTTCATTTTATTTTTAAGCGTAGCTTCAAGAAGTGGCCTATTTTGAATAAATTTGGTCGACCCTAACTTTATTGGATGCACCTAATCTTCAAGGATCATGGAATGACGTAAGGGCATCATCATAAGTTACTTATGCAATTCAGAAGGTATTCCTAAGCCCTTATTATTCCTTGATTTCTTGTGCTTAATATAATGAGTGCTCAGTTTACCCTAAGTAACTACCAAATTCAGAACTCATCCCACCCATCCCAAACGGCGATGGAAATGGTGTAGGTGCCGCCATTTTTGTTAACTGGACCTCAACAAAGGACTCTGGCACTTTGCCCCCATCATTCCACCTCTGTTTTCTCTCACCCATCCTTAGCCATGTATGTTTTTCTATGTGTTCACTATGTCGACCAATATGTGCCAGTTACTCTTGTGTAATACTTTATTTTGCACACTCTACCGCCATGATATTGCTCTTACTCACAACACTCACCATTAAGCATCTTCCGCCACTCCCTTTACCCTAATATCTTAAGCATAGAGCCTCTTAGATGCATGTACCATGTGTTTGTTTGTCTTTTGACCTATCACCTATGTGCTTAATTAATTCATCTTGTGTTGCTAGTTATGCGGTGCTCATATGCTTACCATACTTCTATCTTTTAAGTGTTCCATATATTTTTATGCATTGTTGATGGAGTTAGCATAGAGAGTTGTGGATGAGTTAGAGATGCATGAATTGAAGGTCGTGTGCCTCTACGTTCCATGGATTATATATATGTGCTTTGTGTATGTGGATCGAGGGTGCGACCTCTTCTTGTGCCATTATTTTATGCTAGTATGCATGTATGCCTGCCTATAAGTTGGTATTCCATCTATTTTAAGCTCAACCCAGCTTTAGTATTATTGGAACTAAAGTGTGGGGTAGTCATTTAGGCTTTGTCTACCGACCGTCTCTTCTATAGAGCTCCTCACGATGATACATTATGTGTGCCTTGGCTAACCATAGTGGGGATACTTTCCTCGTTTTGGGAACTGAGGGTATACCCATCTACACCATCATACATTTGCATATTGGTCAATTGTTGGATATTGTTAGCGCTTATGCGACGATAGGAACGATTTTACGATGTGCCAAATTTTTGGATTGTCGCTTATGTCATCACGATCAATGCAGTCAAAAGTGAGATCCTACCTAGAAGCGGTGATGGGTAAAATCGTAAAGCGTGAAATCAAAACGTAAAAGCATAAGTTTTTATTCATCCTGTAAAATAGCTAAAAATTTGTGTAGTACGACACACACTATATAAAATGTGAGTGGATAAAGTTTGAATGAGTGAATTAGTCGATCTGCGTGGAGACTTCGTTGATCCATTTAAAGTATGGGGTGAGATATAGTAGATTGTGTTTCACGTTTAATTCCATAATTTTGATGTTTGATCGTGCATTTATGGGGATGATTGTGTGTGGGCGGTGCATAAATTTTTGAATAATGCAACACTCTCCAAAGCAAATTCGAAGTCATCATACTTTGAATTACTAGTCTCTTCGGTAATACATGATCTAGGGAGGATAGTGTAGGGGCTATTGATAACATCCAAAAAGGTGTTATTTAGCATTCATTTATTATGTGTTTTCATCGTCACTTTGAGCATGATTCGATTTATAAAACATAATTTGTAGCCTAGATCACTTCCTTTTGTTATATCATGTAATTCTAGGTTCCATTTGATGTTCAAGCGAAAAAGGGGAGAAAATGGGGCTAATGTGTAGGAAAAGGGCCCTAAAATGGAGTTCGGAGCTGAAGGATCCAAGATCACAGCCTTTAGTGCCATATCACATCCATGAAGTGACGGCATGAAATAGAGCACCAAGATCCCAGCCACGAACTATAAAGTTTTCTGGAGCGAACTTGGAGATACGGCGGTCAAGGAAGGAACATAAAGTCTTGATAGTCGACCCATGACTCTCTTCATCCAAGCCCGTGATAAAGATCACGGCCGTGACTCACGGATTGCGACCAAGAAGTCAAACCGCGATCTCCAAAGCCAAACAAGATCAAAGTCGCTGACCCTCGAGATAGCAACCTCTCTTC